TGCTCTCCAAGTAAGCCCCTGGCATCAGCTCCTCATTCCCCAACCTCCCTCCTCAATCCCTCCTCCCTCACGAACCCTTGCTAATTTATAAATTATTATTTTGTCATATCTTGCACTGTCTGACATCTCCCTTTTGGCTTTCTAACTTTTTGCACATTTCACTTAAATGCTCCATCTTCTCCAGTTGCTCCGAGGGAGGAAGATGAGACTTTGCTCCTGTAAAGATTACAGCCTCAGAAACCCAAGGGCAGCCCTGCCGTGTCCCTTCGGGCTGCTATGAGTCACAGATAGCCCAATGGGAGTAAGTTTGGGTTTTTGTTTGGTTTTGTCTTCTCCAGGCTCCTTGACATCTTCTGCTCATCTCTTTTATGTAATTACTTCTTTCATTAGCTTTAGCTGTCCTACATGCAAGAGCAAGTTTTAACGTCTCTTCTGACATCCATTTTGATCTTTTCGGTCTTTTTAATGACTTTTGGCTTTCTTTGGGAGAAAGATGGAGCCTTCTACTCCCATAGAGTTATGGTCTCGGAAGCGCACAGGGCACTTCTACCCTGTCTTACAGAGTAGCTATGAGTTCACATTGACTTGATGGCAGTGAGTTTGTTTTTTTCTTCTTCATGTATTGTGTCCTTGATGTCAACCTACAACATGCCTGGTCTTCTGTCATGAATGTTTAATACATCAAATCTATCTTTCAGTTTGTCTCTAAATTCCAGGGAACATACTTAAGAGGAATACTTGGTGACTTCAGAGACAACCTCCGTGCAGCTAATGCAAATGGAAGAAAAGACGAAGTAAAAGAACTGAACAGGAGATTTCAAAGGGCAGCTGGAGAAGACAAAGTAAAATATTACAATAAAATATACAAAGACCTGGAGTTAGAAAATCTAAAAAAACACACACACTTGAAATTTCTTAAGCTGAAAGAACTGAAGAAAACATCAAGCCTCGAGTTACAATATTGAAGTATTCTATGGACAAAATCCTGTATGATGCAGGAAGCATGAAAAGAGGATGTGAGGAATACAAAGAGCAACTGTCCCCAAACAATTGATTAATGATTTTGAAAGAAGTTCAAGTCTAAACTGCACTGAACGCACTGGGGGAGAGAGAAAAAAAGTCCAATAATTGGGGAAATACCAATTGGGTTGTTTCAACAAACTGGTCCAGTCAGAAATTCAAGTTGGACTTGGAAGAGGACATGGAACAAGGGATATCATTGCTGACATCAGATGGCTCTTGTTTGAAAGCAGAGAGTACCAGAAAGGTGTTTACTTGTATTTGATTGACCATAGAAAGGTATTGAACTGTGTGGATCAGAACAAACTATTGGTATCATTGAGAAAAATGGCGATTCCAGAGCACTCAGTTGTGGTCAAGAAAAATCTGTTCATATAATGAGGGCAGTACCTCTTAATTTCACTGCCATTAAGTCGATTCCAACTCATAGCAACCCTATAGGACAGGGTAGAACTTTCCCTTTGGGTTTCTGAGACTCTTTACAGGAGTAGAAAGGTCCATCTTTCTCCCTCAAAGTGGCTGGTGGTTTTGAATTGCTGACCTCACAGCAAGCAGCCCAACTTGTAAACACTGTCCCCAGGGCTCCTGATGTTGGAACAGAAGGGGATACTAAATGTTGGAACTAAAGGGGAGACTAAAATCAAGAAAGGTGTGTGTCTGGATTGTCTCCTTTCTCTATGCTTATTCAATCTGATTATATGTATTCAGATTATATATAATCTCAAAAGAAGAATGTGACATCAGGATTGGAGGAAAGCTCATAAACATCTTGCTTTGTAATGACTGTGTTAGTCTGGGTATACTAGAGAAACAAATTCATACACACATGTGTATAAGAAAGGGGTTTATGTACAAGAGCAGTTGAATATTGAGAAAATGTCCCATCCCAGTCCAGATCAAGTCCATAAGTCTGATATTAGCCCATATGTCTGAAGCAATCTATAAAGTCCTCTTCAAACTCATGAAACACATGCAATGATGCTGAATGCAGGAGGATCACAGGCCAATGGGTTGGAAGTGTTGTGGATCCAGAGGCATTGTAAGCATATCAGCCCTGGCAGGGGTCTCTACATGGCTTCTCCGGCTCCAGAGGTCTGGTTGCATCAGGGTAGGTCCATGTGGCTTCTCCAGGTCCCAAGTCACAGAGTCTATCAGCGTAGTGCCATGTCTCTTGTCAGTAGAGCATCTCCAAGGGAGTGAGCAGAGAGAGAGGTGTCTCCTGCTTCTAAGGAGGAAATACAGGAGTTCCCAGAATTCTCAGGAGAAGGCCATGCTCACTCACAACCAGAGGCCTCATTGGTTATATCTTGACAGACCAGATTCCACCCCTTCACTCCTAATCCTCTCAAATTGACACCAGATTATGTAACTACCACAATGACTGATGACACTGAGCTTCTCTCTTATCGCTTTCCATAAATGTAGTCAATTTGATTCCTGTGTACTTCACCTGGCAAGGTCTAAATATGTGTAGTCATCACTTATTTTATTGAAAAATGTCTTTCAGTGATACAGCTGTTATTCCCTTCTCTAAACAAAAGGGGGTGGTTCGCGCCCATTAGCACAGAGATCTGGTTCTGATTACAGCCTCATATGCCCTATGTGGCAGTTCTATTTGATAGGGTCCATAGCAATCAGAACCCACTCCCTCCTAGAGGTTTTGTTTTGGGTATACAAGAAAAATGAAGCATAATGAAAACCAACTCACGACCATCCAGTTGATTCCCACTCGACCCTATAGGACTGGGTAGAGCTGCCCTTGTGGGTTTCTGAGACTAACACTTTACGGGAGTAGAAAGCCAGTCTTTCTCCCATTGGAGTGGCTGGTGGTTTTGAACTGCTGTCCTTGTTAGCAGCCCGATGCATAACCACTCAACTTACCTTCCAAATAGTTTGCAGAAGAAGAATTCATTTCAGAGGACAGCACTGAAGCTACAACTCAGGGAGAGGGACATGTCTGATCAGAGCACACAGGAGCAAATGAAGGGAGAGGAAGAGAGAGTGGAACACATCCTGGCCTACCAAGCTCTGAGGACGATATTCCTGCTCAGAGCAGCCAAAGCAGAGAGGACCATGGGGCCAGCCCCACATGCCATCCCTCACTGATCCAAAGTGCCACAGGGGACAATACTGGAGACACAGAGCAGGTATTGCGCCCAATCTGACCCCCACCATACTGAGGTGAAACACTAAGGGTATACAACAGATCAGCAAGGGGTACAGGACAATGAAGTCCCCAGGGAATACCAAAAATAGACTTTGGGAACAGGGCATGGTACCCCATCAGACTCGACAGGAAAACACTCCTAAAGGTCAACAGACTTTGAACTATTTACAGGCTTTTCTTTTTAATTTTTTTTGTTGTTGCTGTTGTTTTGTTTTGTTGTTTTGCTCTGTCTTATTTTTGTGCATATTATTATCTCTACAGGTTTATCTAGATAAGATAGGCGAGATAAACAATCTGGAGGAGAGCACAATGGGACCAATGGTTCCAGGGGAGATGGAAGAGGGGGAGGCAGGGGAAATGAAGTGGGTGTTAATAAACCCAGGGGATAAGGGAACAACAAGTGATCCAAAATTGATGGAGAGGAGGGTATAGGAGGCCTGGTAGAGCTTGATCAAGGGTAATGTAACAGAGAGGAAATACTGAAATCCAAATGAAGGTTGAACATGATAGTGGGACAAGAGGAAAGTAAAAGGAAAGAGAGGAAAGATCGAAAAGTGGGTGAAGGGAGACATCGGACAGGGCAAGATATGACAAAGTAACAATTTATAAATTATCAAGGGCTCATGAGGGAGAGGGGAGCGGGGAGGGAGGGGAAAAATGAGGACCTAATGCTGGGGGCTTAAGTGGAGAGGAAATGTTTTGAGAATGATGAGGGCAATGAATGTACAAATGCGCTTTAAACAACTGATGTGTGTATGGATTGTGATAAGAGTTGTATGAGCCCCAAATAAAATGATTAAAAAAAAAAAAGAACTAGGAGGCAAAAAGCATTTATAGAGGTCTAAATACAGGCATGTACATATGTAAATATAGTTATATATGATGATGGAGAAATAGATCCATGTGCATATATTTATAGGTTTAGTATTAAGGTAGCAGATAGACATTGGGCCTCTAATCAAGTACTCCCTCAAGGCAAGAACATTTTGTTCTATTAAACTGGCATTCCATGATGCTCACCTTCCCGACACAATTGCTAAAGACGAAGTAGCACATAAGCAAATGTGGTGAAGAAAGCTGATGGTGTCCAGCTATCAAAAGATATAGTGAAAAAAAAAAAGTGTCTGGGGTCTTAAAGGCTTGAAGATAAACAAGCGGCCATCTAGCTGAGAAGCAACAATGCCCACATGGAAGAAGCACACCAGCCTGTGTGATCATGAGTTGTCAATAGGATCAGGTATCAGGCATGAAAGAACAAAAAATCTTATCATTGTGAATGAAGGGGAGTAGGAAGTGGAAACCCAAAGCCCATCTGTAGGCAACTGGACATCCCCTTACAGAAGGGTCTTGGGGAGGAGATGAGCCAGTCAGGGTGCAGTATAGCAACGATAAAACATACAACTTTCCTCTAGTTCTTTAATGTCTCCTCCCCCTCATGATTATGATCCCAATTCTACCTTATAAATCCAGCTAGACCAGAGGATGCACACTAGTACAGATAAGAGCTGAAAACACAGGGAGTCCAGGACAGGTAAACCCCTCCAGACTAATAATGAGAATAGTGATACCAGGAGGGGAAGGAGAAGCTTGGGGAGAAAGGGGGGAAACCATCACAATGATCTACATATAACCCTTGCCTGGGGGATGGACAACAGAAAAGTGGGTAAAGGGAGACATCAGACAGTGTAAGACTTGACAAAATAAATATAATTTATAAATTATCAAGGGTTCGTGAAGAAGGGAGGGGTGGGCAATAAAGAGCCGATACCAAGGTCTCAAGTACAAAGAAAATGTTTTGAGAATGATGATGGTTATACTTACCTGGCAGGGGAGATACCATGATCATGAAGGTAGTTTTCCCCAGGCGAGGCTTATCCATTGCACTCCAGATGTGCTGACCCCAACGGTTACCCCAAATGTGGGAGACTCGACTGCATAATTTGTGGTAGTGGGGAACTACAATTGGGCTCTCCCCTGAAGAAAAAAAAAACCAGAATGATAACGGCAACAAATGTACAAATGTGCTTGACTCAATGGATGCATGTATAGATTGGTATAAGAGTTGAGAGAGCCCCCAATAAAATGATTTTAAAAACCCAACAATATAGTTTGCAGAGCCAGGATTTGTTCATCTCCAGCCCTTGCCCTTGGTCCATTTTGGTCAAATCGTCCTCCATTCATTACATTTCCTGCTGCGTTGTAGATGTTCAATACATATTTGTAGAATGGGATGGATGTGATTAGGCTCCTAATGACCCACGGGTATAAGTGCTCCGTGGAAAACTGAAGCTAAATTGGACCCCTGGCTGGTTGAAAAAAATTGAAATGATTTTTTAAAAGTGTGCGTGTTATAATCTAGTAATTGGAAGGGTTGGACAAAGGATGAGGGAGGTTGCACTGGCCCACTTGGCTTCAGGGCCAGGTTATCTAGTGAAGAGGCGCTGGTGAGCGCTTTGGGACACGCGCTGGCGAGATACTGGCCGCTCTGAGCTTTCCAAGCTTGAGAGAGGCCCAGGCGGGGTCCCGCCATGGCCTTTAAAGGCCTACCACGTGGCCGCGCCGCCCGCCCGGGTCCGGAGACGCCGTTCTGGCAGCGCCTGCGCACGACCGAACGCGTTGGGTGGAGCGATGCTCCGGGTTTCCGAGAAAGGCGCCGGGAGTGGAAAGGAAGGTTGCTCCGGGTGGGCGGCCGTGGGAGGAGCCAGCGACAAATGCAAATCGCCGCGGCGCGCGAGAGCAAGGGGCGTGGCTTGCGATGCAAATCTAGGTCCGCCTTTGGAGCCGCGAAGGGGCGGTCTCGAAGAGCCTCCCTCTTTCCGCGAGTTCCTGACGTCGCGGACGTCCCGTTTAAAAGCGGCCGCGCAGGCGCAGTGAGGCGAAATGCGAACTTAGGCTGTTACACAACTGCTGGGGGCTGCTCTCGCCGCCCGCCCGGCCGTCAGTCAGCGTCGCTGCCGTCGTTTGCTGTCGCGGCCGTTCCGGGAGTCTCAGGCCCGCCGCCGTTGCTTATCCGCGCCTCCGGGAGCCTCCGAGAGCCGTGGGCTGTCAGCAAAGCCATTCCCGACCGCCTGCGTCTCCTCCTCACCCCTCGCCTCCTGCCGCGCTTGCCGCTCCGACCGACATGAGCGGGGACCATCTCCACAACGATTCCCAGGTACGGCCCGGCCCGCTCCGCCCGGCGCCTCCGCGGCCCCCGGCGCAGGCCCGGTCCGGCCGCTTTGACA